ATACTATTACATTCTTAATTTTCCGGAATTCCTTTCTTCCTCTGTGTTTATTCATAATTAACATTTCTGCAAAAGATACTGGAGCAATAAAAAATCATTGATAAATAATTTTTTTAATCCCTTGTAATAAATATGAAACATATGCCACACTAATTAATCATATCTGTCTGCAATAAATAAAGCTTGTCATAATTCGTACGTGTTATATATATCACAAAACATTCCTGCAAATAATAACGTTGGAAAATATAAAAAGTCTATAAACGTAGTATTGTCATTACAATTTAAATGGCACATATTTTTTATCAGATACTTGTGAACTGATTTCTAATTTTATCTTTCAAGCGAGAAATAGAGATACTCCAATATTCTTTTTTAATCTCTAAAATCCGATCGGCAAAATTTTCGAGATTTTTTTATCTGCAGAAATCTCTCTCTTTCTATAATTTTATTCCTTAATACGTTTTTGTTTAATTCTTCCATTAAATTAAACATACAATATTATACAATATTATACACACCACAAAAAGAGTTAGACTCGTTTTATACATAATATATACAATGATCGATTATATCGAGACGTTTATTTTTTATAATAAAATCTTGTAACGCTTCGATTTGCCAAATTTGCATTTGGTTTGCACCAAACTGACGCTTCAAAATTCTCGATCAGGGGAAACCGACTTTGCTCGCGAATCGAGTTTGTCCTAAATAAGATTACATTTTTTTTTTTTGTTCTCCTGTGGACGCAATTAGCGCCGATCATCAAGCTACTGCATGTAGTCTGCCAGATGCAACGCTTGGCCACGTGCAATCGAATTACGCTATCCATCAAACTCGCGACACGGCGGCACAGCCGCCTTTACCAGATCGATTCAAACCTTAAAGTGTTACGTGCGCCTACTGCTTTCGTAATTTTCTGCAACTAATTATCAAGGCTAAACTTAAATGAGTCCAACATTCATCATATCATATTTCCAAGTTCATTAATACGGTTAATTTTACACTACGTATGAAAATATCGCTTTTCACTTTTTTTATACATATTTTGCATGCAATATATTTTCTATATGGAACATCTTTTGCAAATTGAATTAAGAAGATCAATTAACAATGCTCATAAAATTTCATAGCGTTATTTGCGTTCAAAATGGAGCAATATAAAACGGGTAGTAATAGCGTTAAATTAATGTTAACGTTAACTTTTATATTCCCAATATTTAAAAAAAACTTGATTCCACCAGAAAAGAATAAATTTTATTGGATTATGTTATGTAAATAACGAAGGCCATTCGATTACGTTAATACCGCGTATGAAAATATTTGCTGCAAATCGGTATATAATTGTCATCGTTGATTATCAAACAGATTTTGCAGAATGTATACGCATGAGAAAAAGAAGATCCTGAATTATCTAGAAACTATTTTTCCTCAACATAACATGCATTTTTTCCATTCAACTATGAAAAACTATTATCACGACATTGTTATGTGTGTTACAAAATCTACCAATTTTAAATTTTGGGTATGTTTAATCTAAAGAAAAGAGAACTTTCACAAATTTTAAATACAAAGCAAACCGTCAAAATACTTAAAGTTAAAAATTTATGCAACGAGACTCGTGTTTTCGATCGCATTTATATCGAGAAAAATTCTTAGCAGTGAAAAGCGATGTTATGATTTTCTGGGACAACTCTTATGTTATTTAAAAACAATTGTATCACGTCGCAACGACGGAGAAGCGTCAAAATAGCGACGAAACACGCCAGATAATATCTAACTATAAAATTTGACTCCACCGACAGATTCTCCTCTCTCTCTCTCTCTCTCTCTCTCTCTCTGTTTCTTGTTGACTGTATTTTATTTTTGTAAACGAAAGACGATACTTTGCCGCGCACTCGCCTATTTTGTAGCTCTGCCGTAATCTTTGCATAATGTTTACTGCGAATATACACGCGAATAGCACCGAAGGTATCGTGTAGGTGAGCATGTAATGATGCATTTTCGCAAAACCGGTGATAATGAGCGTAAATCATTATAATGATCGCATTTCATCCATCTTTGGTAATTTTCAGGTAGTCTCTGTTTACAAACATGCCAGGTTTTATATTTAAATAACGAAATAATGAAAAAAGAAGCAAGAAACTTTATTAAAAAGAATGACATTTTTAATAAACAAGAGATAATTTTGCTTCGTGTCAATTAATTAAAAAATTAATTAGATAATGTTTTTCGGAAAGATTATTTTATACAAATAGAAATAAATTTTTATTAAATACGATTTTTTATATAATATATATATTTGTATAAAATGCGGAAAAAATGACTCTATTCCATAACTATTACCATAAGAGCAATAATAAAATATCTCTAATTAAAATTCTGCAATATTTTTAATTTAATTTTATTACATTCCTAGTTTTATTTAATTTTATCTTTCTTTTAGTTTCGCTTGAAGATAATTTATTCGATAGCAGAATGGAACTCGTAAAAACGTTACGATTAACACCATAAAAACATTATCAATAAGCTTTTCTTTTAAATTCACTTTATTTCATTAATACACTTTAATCGCATTTTTCTGATCAAATTGCGGGAGAAAGATTTGAATTTTTTTATACGGAAATCTTTAAGAAGCAGATAAAGCATATCGCAGTCATAAGTCACGCCGATTATTTATCGGAAGTTCTAGATGCTCAATCTCCAAGACTTGGGAGAGGGGAAACGTCCGATATTTCGAGAGGCGCAAACTAGCGACGCGTTATGCAAAAATAAACCATTCAACACGTGCTCGCTTTTCCTCCTCCGCACGATTGCCGGACGAAATTAACGGAGGAACTTTGCAGCCGACACAAAGTTACAAAGTTAAACAAAGAACGTAATGATACATGTCGAAATATCACCGAATTGTTCAATCAATTATACATCATCGTGTACGGTTTTCTAAATTTTTAATTTCAACACAGAAACCTGTAAATATCCGATCAAAAATATTCTTTAACGGATTTCTAACTTTAGAATTTCTAACTTTATACGGGCCTAAAAAATCAATCTCGAGACAAAATTGCAATTTAAAGTTTATATTAAATTATAATATATACGAAGCGAAATACAAAACTTGTGAATCCCGAGTTATCTGTGCCGCACTGTAAAGCTAATAAGATTGTAAGGCAACCTTCATAAAAATTTATAATTTTTATTTTATTTTTACTTTTAAATTATTTTTATGTAACGTATACACTGATGTTTTGGAAAGAAGAGAATAAAAATATATTTACATATCTCATGTAATCTGTGCCATGGTTCATAACGTTTTACATAATTGTTATCGCACATTAACATAAAGCTCCGATTATCATTCCAAGTCATTTTTATAAAGTGAAAATTGTATAACGAGAAATTAAAAGAATAAGTCTTATGTATTAGGATATAATTATCACCGTATTAATTGTAAATGTTAATTAATCTTGAATATAGTTATCGAGAGAGATTAAAATAGTTTCGGATGCTATTGCAAAAAATTATTATTCCACAAATTTCAAACGCGGTTGAATTTTCGTCAGCACAATCCGAGAGATTTCCCGAAATATATATACAGTATTGCGATTCGATCGAGTGGTTCGTGTCGACGACGGAAATTGGAATGTCGATGATTTAAACGTCCCCGATTACGTTATTGTAAAGCATAGACAGATACGCACGTCATACACAAGCAGTCCTTCCGAAACGAAGTGATTTATAGAGGAATGCATCGGACGGTTAAATCAATCCCACAAAGTATGGATAGTTCTAATCACCGAACGAAAAAGAAAAGAAACTTTGACGGATTATTATCTGAGATATATCTCGTAATAAATTTATTCACAGAATTTTGAAACAGTATTTTTTTTAAATCCAAACTGTCCAAATTGAATCTATGTGAATTTGAAGCCGATTTTTTATTAAACGTAAACGATTTAAAGTCTAGTCAAAAGTGCTAATCGATAATAAAAAGGTAGAGATTACGAATAGATACTTTTACACACACGGATTGTGGCGTTCACATGTATATATGACGCGGCGAAATGTTGAAAAACAATCCTATACAACCGGATCTTATAAACACGGCACATACGTAATGAATATTAAAACTACAGACTCTTCTTGAACACGTGTACGAGGAAGTGGCAGGCGGTCGCGCCGATGGTGGGGATGAGGCAACACACGCGTGGTACATACACGGCGACATATGTATTATACATACCAGGCTGATAAAGCGACTTTTACCATCGACTCTCCTCGACCCCGGTAGCGAACAGAACGCGCGATTATATATTTTTATGAGCGCCACGCAATTATCGTACCCGCGCGTACTATGATATAAAATACGCATAATATGATATAAAATAAATATCTACATATACAAGATACGTCTTCCGTACAACTAACATTGTGTCTTTCATCCGTGGATTTTGCGTGAATTTGAAGTAGATTTCTTTCATTAAACGCAAATAATTCTAAGTCAAGTCAAGAATGCTAATTGATAATAACAATTTTTATCTGTGAATGTTGATCTCTAAAAGTTGATTATAGAGTGACTAATTGCGAAAGGAATGAGACAGTCTGGTACAATTGAGGAAAACTCGGCGTGAAACGTAATTTTGAAGAATTCTCAGACACGTGGTACATGCCTTGCGAGAATTATACGTATTAAATATCAATGAGTGTGAGTCTTTTTCCATAAAAGACAAAGTAAATAATAACGGTTTTTTTATTTCTTAACTTTGTTTAAACCAATCTAAATCAAACGACGAGAGTAATTGATGAATGATTTATAGACTAATTGATAATTTATACGATATTAAAAGAGCTATGCGGGCCTTTTGTGTACAGATCCTTCAATTGTGTGAGATACATGTGAATGAATCCACACAATGAATCTATCAATCATCCATGAATCTACACGTGAATCTATCAAATCCTCCAAAAGATCAAAGTGTAGAAAAAAAGAAATTACTCACCGTTAAGACCATATTTCTCCTGGTTCCTTTTGACTTGATCGGGAGACAGTCCTTTGTCAGGATCGACGTTGAAGTAATTTACTACTTCTTCCACAGTTTTAGAATGGCCGTCTTCCATGATTACTGCTTCGTAGATGCTTCACTAATGTTATCCTTTCAGTGATCGTATACGTTCATTCACACTAACAGTCTCTGAAAATTAATAAAATTATTTATTAAATAAAATGTTTAATATTATGATGTGTATTAAATAGAGAGTTAGGTATAGAACAAATTAGACCTAAATTGCAAAAGAATTGCTTTAATCTGAATAAATCTTAAGTAGATATAAAAATAATATGAATTGCACATTTTTAATAAGAGCTTGCTATCATATTCAATGAAATGATAATTTTAATAAATTTTTAATAAAATTATTATCTACTAGAATCTAAAATAAATTGTAATCAAATTGTACTCAAAGCTGAGACGATAGTTAAATGTAATTTCATACAAAATTGCTCCATATTTTATCTCTTTTTTTCAAAATGCCAAGAAAAAACAATATTTTTTAACAATATATATTCACAAAGAAGATTATATGGATTCTTACTTATATCCATCAACAATTATTTATATATAACTTTTTTTGCTTTCTGTTGTTAGTATTAATATCCGACAGTCCCAAACATATATAAATATATACAGAATTGAGTTATATTTATGTTTTAAATTAATTTTATATCTTTTGATGTATAATTATATGTGTTTACTTGATTATAGCCTTCAATATAACAAAAATATCTTACATAATTTTTTTTTTCCTATATGTATTAAATATACATTATAGCGAGTAAATATCAATATATGCAAGTTTAAAAAATGTATAAATCATATATAACATGATCGGAAATTTCTCGATTTACGAGACTTTCGGTCTGAGATACATAATTAATCCTTAGCCAAACGTCGCTATCTCTTTCTAGATTACACTCTTAGCAACGATGTAATCAGTTGAAAAAACATGAGGAAATTTAACACGCTAGCAGATACACTGAACCTTAACGGAACATTCTCGAGGTTTAAGATTTCGCTACTAGAGAAAATCTACGGAAAACTCGCCGCATAAATACAGCGCGTACGCGTATTACGGAAACGGACGCAACACGGAGTGAGAGAGAGAGAGAGAGAGATGGAGAGAGAAAAAAGAAATAAACTTCAACCATACCGAGGATATCGTAGAGACGCAGGAGATTGTCCCACGGCGTTCCACGTCCTTGCGAAATTACGAAACGCGACGATGGATCGGCGTGACGAGTTGCCGCCGCCACCGACGACAAGGAGGACGACAAGGAGGACGAGAACGAGAACGAGGACGACGGAAGAAGCGCGGCGCGCACTTCGTCGCGGCTTAGAATCACTGTTCGGAGCGCGACGGGTCCTCGCGACATGCACTCGCGGCTCACTACGGTATCCTCGGCGGTATTTCTGATTCGCGTTGTCAGCACGTAAAGCGAGGAAGTCCGCCGCGTTGACGCGCGACAGACACGGCTATCGTTGATGACGACGTGTCAATAGAGCGAGAGAGATGGAGAAGGAGAAAAAGAGAGAAAAAGGCGGGGAGGAAGAGACAGGAGAGGGAGATTGAGACAGGGAGAGAAAAAGAGAGAGAGAGAGAGAGAGAGAGAGGGAGGGAGTGACGAGAGAAAATTACGTTACGGCTTCCGAATATTTAGGTTAGCCGCGTTAGCGACGGCGATGACGGCGGCGGCGGTGGCAGCGCGCTTTGCTTATCCCGCGACAAACTTCACTACAGACCACGACGATCGACGCCGTTTCCCCGTCTTCTTTCGCGACGAAAGGAAAAGGAGAAAGAAACAAGCGCCGAGGCGAGATGCTATTGCTGCTCCGAATTGCACGCGGGAGCTATCACGAGGCGCGAATGCACGAGACGCACGTCATTTTTACCGTAACGATGTAACCAGCACGACAACTGCTAACCTGACCTCCGCTTCCGCGAGACTGACATGACTGGCGAATCGGGCGAATCATGGCGTGAGCGTCAGCGCCGCCAGCCGGCGCGCGCAGGCAGCAACAACGACCACGCCGTCGCGCACTGCGAGAAATAATTCGTCTTCTCTCGTCGAAACCGGACTCCGCCGGATCGATCGGCGATTAATTTACGCCGAGATACATTCCGCGATCATTTCCGGAATATACGAAACTTTTCCGGGGGAAATTCGATCGCGTAGCGTAATGCGCCGTCCGTGATGCGTTCCGCTAACACGCGTCCCTCGCGCGGATAGCGAGCATGTGGAGCGACGCCATTGGCCGAGCGGACTGACGTGTACGGCTATTTTCAGGCTTCTGCTAGGCTATTTCCTTGGCGCGTATTTTAAGACTCCCGGCGGGACGAATCTCGCGGCGTGTTGTCGTGTTACGTAACCGCGACGTCGCGGTAATAAGTCGTCCGCCGTCAAGGTGTTGACCGACAAATACGACGGCGAATGCGACGCGATTTCGAACCTTAACCCTTGGGAATTTATGCGGCGTTTAAACTTCGTAACGGCCGATGCGAAATGATGCGAACACACCGGGGATCGTCATTCGGAATGTGACGAGAAAATTACGAAAATAAATTTTTGCCGTTTCCTATCTATTTCGAATCTCTTACGCACGACATCATCCAGCTGGCAACGAAGAAGAAGACAGATCGTTTAAATATTTCATTGTCGAGACGACATGTTCATTCAATCTACGTAAAAGGTATGTGATATGTATTATTAGTATCACCGTGTGTGACATATGAGATAAGGTTTAAACGATTTATATCGATAAAAGCAATATTCGCGTCTGATAATCCCGGCAGAATTATAAACATGTGTGTCACGTATGTGACGCGATCAAAATACCATAATGGAAACAGAAAAAATACGAGAATTCATATTTTTAGTAGCAATACAAGTATATCTCTTTTATCAATATTGAATTTCAAATTTTTCCTCACGATTCAAGGTTAACGCGGCAGGATTTTAAAATCGAGTCAAGTTCAAACATATTAAGCAAGAAGATTGCTATATTCCATTTAAACAGCTCAATTTTATCTAGAATCAATGGAGGGAAGGGGTAGCGGAGATTAAAATTAATTTACAAACGCGATTTACAAAATAATCTTATTCGACGAGCTTTGCCAGTCTTATATAAGCCCGTTTGCGAAGCTGCTTCCGCGAAATTTCTTTGTCTCGGATATTCATATCGTTGACGGTAGCATACGTTGGCGAATGATTAAATACACACGTCTATCACTTTTCTGACATCCCTTTTTCCATTGTCCCATAATTATTGGATGTTACCTCCCCATATTGATTTACAAATTCACGGCAACATGAAGGTTGAAATAAAGAGCGCTTGAAAATCTTGCTAACATGCTGGCAAGACTCCAAAAATGTCTAAAAAGTGTATCTCAAATTCGCCGGATATTTCGGACATTGTTTAGAGATGTATTTTATATATTTCTTGGACCTTTATCTTTGAAATTTAGATAAAGATCTGAAGAATATCTATTTGTTATTCGATTTAGAACACGGGCAATATATATTGAATGCTGCAATATCTCTTTTTTTTTATTTTAAATATTTCTTCGAAGATCTTGAAGCTTGGAGCTTAAAATTAACAACATAAAAATATTGTAATATCTATTTTTTATAATTGAGGAAACACATATCTAATTAAATGTGCTATTATTAATAAGCTGTTAATTACACATATCTATAATTTTCACACTAATTTCTTTTTACAAAATGTTAGTTTTCTATTATAATTCCTGTTAATTAAAAATATTACGTCGACGCAATAATTAATTATATGTTTCACAGCAGAATTCCACGATAACATTTTTCTTTTAATGATTGAATCTCAATTATTTTTTGCGCTGTTAATTAAAATGGCTTGCATATTTAGAACAGCAGATAGCGCGAAGAACCTATCGAGTTCTGGCTGATGAAACGATTAATTTTACGATCCTGATAATTTTTTATATATTTTTTAAATATCAACTTATTGTGTTATTTGGAAAATCGTAAATACACACACAATCGTAATCGGAATAAGAACTAAAAATCCGACTATATAAAAGAATGAGAAATAATTAATATGGTATAGATATTATTTTCATATTATCTCGTTTATTCATTAGACACAAGTTAATTATCCATGCTACTTTTTAAATTCAAAATGACACGTTGAGAACGGATAGCCCGCCAAAATGCGCTGACAAGTTTAAGATTAATTAAACACGTCGTATTTAATTCCCACGATACGCTTTTTAAGCAACGGACGTCAACTCCCCGCGATAGCTGGAAAAGTCGAGGCAAAATGCGCTCAGAGCGAGGCAGTTTCTGCTAAAATACTGACAAGCGGTTAATTACACATGTCACATACGACTTCTATAGGATCTCTTGTATATTCACATTCAAGACTACAAATCTAAAGCAATTTCATCGAAACGAAAAACACTCAATCCTCAACCGCAAAATTTGTACAATCTAAATTTTAAACAGTTTTTCGTGACATTTTTTTACCAATCAAAATATACTATATTTGCTTATTTAATTCTTAATATAATAATAAAAAAGACCTATACTTCAAAATATATTTTATCGTGATTACATTGATTTTCCACGAAGCTATTTTCCGTCCATCATAAATGTAATCAATCGTAATTTTAACGAAAATTCGTGTATTTACTAGCTTTTATTACGACTAGTGTCCTGTCACTAACATTTGCGACAAACCTATAAAGATTTTGCCGACCCTTCTCCCTCCCCTCTTGCTTCGCGCGCGATTGAGGATTGAGAAATCGCGAATGGCAAGACTAACCCTCTCGAAGCTGGCGCGGATGATTATCCCTTTCGACGGAGCGGCAATCGCTCACATCAGTTTGGTCCTTGAAGGACAGACACACCGCGACAAATATAAAGGTACGGACTCGGCGACCGGTCGCGTGGTACTGCGGTACCACGGTACTCCGCTGAGGACTGCTCTCCCGAGGACTCTGTCCGGACGACCAGCTCGCTCGAGCGCCCGGGACGCGACTAGCCGGCCAAATCGCGCGCGCGCGCTCGAGCGGACGTTTTTAGCACATCTTCGACGACGACTTCCTAATTATTTTGGCAAAGATCAGTTCGCTCTCCCGATCTCCGGCATCGCCTCCTTCCTCTCCGCGCATCGCCCGCCGCCACCGCGCGTCCTGTCGAGTACGATCTGAGGGGGTGGTTTTTTAATTTTCGTGATTGTGGAATTTAGATCGTTCTGGAAAATTGCCGAACTTGCTCTCTTCTGTATTTTCATCAGCAAATTCTTTAATTAATATTATGAAATATTTATTTTACACCATTTTGTGATCTCATCGATTAGAAATCGAACCTTTTCGAATCTCTTCAAAAGGATCTTTTCTTGTTCAGATTACGTTATATGAAGTATTGTATAATTGCCAACAAACACGCTGTGTTGCGTAAATTATAGGAAGAGCTTCCTCGCGTATTTATGGATGCTTTAAACTTCAATAAAAAATATCAAACGTCTTTTAAATTATTATTTTACATTGAATTATTCAATTACTAAGTTATAGAGATTAATAAAAAATTCTTGTATGATGTAAATAAATAATCGCAGTACAAAATTAAATCCTTAACATGCATGTACTATTTAAATAATTAAAATGTTTTTAAGATTGATGAGACATTTTGCAGCATCAAGGAGACAATACAAGAAAGATATTTTACTAATCGAGAAATTTAAATATTAAGTAAATTATATTTATTTAAGGAAGACCTCTCTTTTGTAATATGCAGGCGCTCTCAAGCTACATCCTCTAATAAAACATGAGCGTACATTTGTTCCATTTTAAGCACATAAGATTCGAAAAGTGCAGCTGTGAGAGAGAAGCAGATCTGTAGTCATGAACTGTATGAGTGCACCGACGTGGGGATTAGTGGAATCTATTTGAAGATGAGATGCAACACGTTGGCCGGGCCATAAGGATAAGAAACGTAGCGCGTTTGTTGGCAAACAAGTAGAGGTTGCGTTTGTATATGACGAATGTTTCACATAGATATGAGGTAATCCCGCTCCGTTGGATCGTCCATTCTCGAGAAAAATCAACTCTCTCATGTATAAAATCGCGTATACAACTATCCCGGCCATGCCAAATGATTCGCTCATGTTAGTAAATTATCATTTTCGACCACGGTTAAATACACATGAATGTTCAGGATGAGATAAATCTTTCGAAATGTATTAAAATCATGACGTATTAATTTCTTAATGTTTTAAAAACTATTAATGTTAAATCAATTTTATATTTCTCTGAATAATTAATTTTTCTATTTATCCACATTGATTGTGTGTGTATTACGCGCTAATGTAATTAGCTAAGAAACTGCTATTATATTTTAGCAGCTTTAATGCATTGCATTTGTGAATTTGCTACAAATTTATCCAAATGTAAATTCAATTCCGTTTGACGTAATTGCTCTTCGAATCGAAAGACAGCAACTGTTTCACAAAGAAATTTATTGCATATATTGACTTGATCTTTTCATAAATCGAGAGATAATCTTCTCTAATATTGGCGATGTCTCTATGTTATGCTATTGTGACGTGATGCCATATGCTAATGTTGGCGTGTATAAACGCGTGTTTCAATTTCCGCTCGTTGCGGACAGTGCACGCATTAGCACGTTCCTTCGTACGATATGAAATCATCCATCACATATTTCTGCCCATCGCCAAAGATAACAAAATGCCTTTGAAATTTTTAAAAATACCGTCGTATGACAAGCAAAAATTATTCGAGGTACGAAAAATGTGAGAAAGAAGAGAAGATATCTGTCCGTACAATTCCATCAAAAATTTAAAGTTAATTCTGCTGTGGAATTAAAACGTTATTAGTTTAT